TTCAAATTTGTTACCAAATTACAGCCCTGTCACAAAAAAAAACAACAATGTTTGGGTAGACGAAACCTAAAAGATTTTGGGTTATGCACTAAAGGGTGAAGAGTTTGGAGAAGGCAGGGGAAGTGAACAATCTAGGCCAAAAAAGTTAATTCTCCAATTCAGCTCACTTTCCAATTCAGTTGTTGCCCTAGATTGTTCACATCTACCTCATCTAAACTCTTCACCCTTTTGTGAATAACCTTATGTGTGGAACCAAGTCATCTCTGAAGCGACAATAACAATGCTCTGGGGTGTAGGGAGAAAAAGACCTGGGAACTCAAATGGTTCATTTTCAGCTTTAAGAATAGTGTGCATTTAAACAAGCATTGACTTGACTGAGGAAAGCATTGACTTGAATGAGGAAAGCACTCACTCATTTTTAGACTTTGACATATATTTGTGTCTGATGGTGTGGTTTATTGTTAAATCACATTATACGAAACATGCCTCACGGAACTTCTCCATGTAAGACGTCCAGACAGCCTGCACATTGTTCCATGCTTTCTGCCTGATTGAAAGGAATGAAATAGTGACAAGGATAGGATGCATCTTCTGACACATAAATAATTGAAATAAATAGACTCTAGATTGTCCTTGAGAGAGGTCAGCTTTTGAAAAGCCAATGTTGATTATATTTGCAGCCTCTAATTGTGACTGTACAAGAGATCACGGTAGCTGCTTATTAGAATACATGGGTGAATCATCCCATCAGGTTTCAGGCTTGAAGCATATCAGGCTATCAGAAATCAGCAGATATCTGCATATAATTCCAGGTCTGCTATCTCTTCAGGTTTTGTCTTTTTTTTTCTACTTTTTTTTCCCGTTTATTAAAATATGTGACACTTTTCCCTAAGGGACACTAGTGTAGTGCTGCAAGCATACAATACCAGTAGAATCCTGAGCATTTGGGCTCCCTGCTAAACTTGAAGCTCCTTTACTTTCTTCAAGCTTTGCCCTGCCCCCTATCATCTCTCAAGTCTACCTTTTGATAAAGGAAGCCACCCATGAAGCTATAGGTCCTATAGTGAGATTTTGGTGAAACTGAGAGGTAGAAGCAGACTCCACTTTCACAGGAAAAGTCAAGATATGCAAATAACGCCAATGCTCTTTATCTCGGTCTACAGATCATTTTTATATGCAGTTTTTTACTAAAGGTAACTATCACGTACCTGGTTGGAGACTGGTTGGATGAGGAGGCTTCCCTTGCACCTCGTGTCCTACAGACTCTGGAGGTGGAGACAGAGTCTGAGTGAACAGCAAATAGCACAGGTGCCAGAGGTGCGTTCACACCGTGCAGACAAATTCCAGAGTCAGGATCAGGTCAGACAAGCCAAGGGTCAGAAGTACAGAACAGGAGACAGTGGCAAATCAAGTGAACAGGCAAAGGTCAGGAGGCAGGCGCCAATCAGAGTAGTCAAGCGCAATCCAGGTCAAAACACAGGAATAGGAACAGGAAACTGATATCGGACACAGGAACAAGCTGAAGACTATCTGGCACCTGGGGATCAGTCAGGCTTATTTAAATAAGCTGGTCTATTAGAGGTCACTGCATCATTTCCTGAGTGCCAGAGGTCACCATATCACTTCCTGTGCGCCAGAGGTCAGCGCGTCTAGAAAGGTATCTGAACACACATTGCATTTCAGTTTGTTGTGTATTGGGCTGCAGACCAGTCAGGGTGCCCACTCTGACCTGTGTCCACCACCAAAGGTGCCTAGAATAGGCACATGAGCATCAGAACTGGACCAATGGGGCAATGGAAGAAAGGTGGCCTGGTCTGATGAATCATGTTTTCTTCTATACCATGCGGATGGCCTGGTGCATGTGTGCCGCTTCCCTGTGAAAGAGATTGCACTAGGATTCACTATAGGAACAAGGCAAGTCAGTGAAGACAGTGTGATGCTAGGGAGCAAATTTCTCCTGGGCCATCCCTAACCTGCAGATGTTGTGGCCTGCTCAGTGTGTTACCCTCACAACCCATATTAGAATAAACAAACTGAACAGCACAATAATGATGCCATTCATGTCACCGTACTTTAGTAACATATTCCTCACCATGTACTTCCAACAAACACTCGCCATTATTTAGTAGCCAAACGCTAATTATGCAAACAGATGCATGGAATATCCTTCTGTGATGGATGAAATGTGTGACAATTTGACTTGTTGCCAAGGTAATAACAAGAAAGTTTCCATTCATCGCGTAAAGGACGGGAGTATTAAACACTCGCCAGTAAATCATTAGCCATCTGTATATACAGAATGCGCCTCATTTCTCTAATAAGCTTCAGCTATTGGCAGACACACTTTTATCATCTCTGCCTCATTGCTGTACCTCACTATACATCTATACAGCCTGTGCTATTAATTTTACAGAGCATCTCCCAACATGATCAGAATATGCATGGAATCATAGCCTACAAAAACAGCCATTAAAATAGACCTGAACTCAAACATTTGCATCTAATAATAATTGTGTCTATGTAGTACCCTGAAAGATTTACCCTGTGTCGCAAATTCCCCCTGAAAAATAGCAGAGCACTTCCTGTGCCTTGAGCCTTAAGTGAGAGATCATTTAAGGTACTGCTACCTCTGAATGTTAGTCCCATGGGTTTGGGAGAGATTTGGCAATGTAATCTCTGTGCTGCTCTCTCCTTGCTGGAGAGAAAATTGTATCTAAGAACCTTCAATGCAAGGAACTCCCAGCTTCTGCTTTATCCATTCTGTGGAACTGTGCTTTCTGCAACTCTGCTGCTGCTTCTTTAATATTCCCCCACCAGTAGATCACAAGTCATTAATGGGCAGCTCTGACAAAATGCCTGCACCCACATGTAGATGGCTGCCACACAGCGACAGTGAAAGGCATGGTAGGTCAATAATAGGAAAAAGATCAGTCCTAGTCCTTTTCCCTTTTTGGGCATAGCTTCTAGTATTCTTGTCCTCTTTAAAGTTTAAAAACCTTATAATAGATATGTAACTCTGCAAAAAATATGTTTTGTCAAGATTCGGATTGATTTAGATTTTATTTCTTTAGTTTTTTGGATTTCGGATTTGAAATTCAATTTGGTTCATTATTTTGGATCCATCCGAAGTTTCGTTTAAGAACGATCCAAATTTGTGTTCCTGAACAAAGTCACATGACCTTGCCTGTAATGCAACCCCCAATAGACCCCCAAAAAATCTGATTGGCCAGAGAACAGTCACATGTCCGATTTAGTTTTGGTTTTAAAAGAAATTCGGATTCATTTCAGAGGATTCAGAATGTCTGAATTTAACGAAATTTGTAAGAATATCCATTCATATCTACGTTATAATTAGGGATGAACTGATACTGTTTTTTCGGTATCGAGTACAAGTATTCGATACCGAATACCGATACTAGAAGTCCCATTAAGGAAGCTGGGCGACATGTAATGACTCGCTGCCCGGCTTTATGATTAACCAGGTGACGAGGAAGAAAGGAGCCGGCTTTCTGGCCAAACAGGAAGCTGGGGGACGAGTAATGACTTGACACCTGGCTTCCTGATTGCCCAGCTTCTCGACCAATTAGGAAGCTAGGTGGTGAGTCATTACACGCTGCCCGGCTTTTTGATTGGCCAGGAAGCCGTTTACATGCTACCTCATCACCAGGTGACGAGGAAGCATGGAGCTGGCTTTTGGCCAATAAGGAAGCTGAGGGGCGGGTAATGACTCGCCACCCGGCTTCCTGATTGGCCAGCTTCCAGACCAATCAGCAAGCTGGGCACCAAGTGACGAGGGAGCATGGAGGCAGCTTCCTGGCCAATCAGGAAGTTGGGCAACAAGTAATGGCTTGCCGCCTGGCTTCCTCATACCGGAAGTTCTGGTATTGGGATAAGCATCGGGAGCATTTGGGCGAGTACGAGTACTCACCGAAATACTCAGTATCGCCACCAATACTAGTTTCAGTATCGGTGCATCCCTACCTATAATCCACTCTTACTCTATTAATAATTAAAAATAATGATGAGCTCTCCTTTTGAAGTTAAAAGTTGCCTGTATGTTACGATGATCCACAAGCTTTTGTGCATTCTGAGTCACCAGTCCCTAAAAAGTATTTACTTCTCTTGCTATGTACTTGTTCTAGGTTGGTGACTGAGAAAGTACTGAGGTCAGATACAGCCAGGCATCCAGCAGTTTCAAAAAGAGGTCTGCAATGGCAGATTCTGTATTTCTCTCTGTTTCAGTTTCCTTTATCTACGCCCCCTCAATTCTACACGCAGAGCAGTGCCAGTACACAGTCACTCAGCAAATACATTCTCTTTACAACCTATTCTATAATTGATATGCTCACAGCAATCATTCCGCAAAGATACTGACCATGGGATGTGAAATCCACACAGTCACTGGAGGACATACCTATAAATCTAAGTGCAAGATAATCAGAAAAATATGGCACCGCGAGCAGGTGAAAATGGAGAAACCATTTAAAATATTACTTTTGGATACATTTTTTGATAATAAAGTAACATGAAAAGGTTAACTTTATACAAACAAGACTGAACAAAAAATACTTATACTGTTAAGTGCAATATGCAGGATGCCATTGCTAAACGCCTTCTGAAAAAGCCATAATACTCCTAGAAATGGCTTTAGTACCTGATCTCTGGAAGTTTAGAATTCTCTCTCTCTCTCTCTCTCTCCCTCTCTCTCTCTCTCTCCCTCTCTCTATACAGTGTCTTGCAGGACACTGTATTGTGATTGTAAAAGATTGTAAAAGAAAGTAAAACACATCTTGCTCTATCACCTCATAAAAGCCTCTGGAAAGGAACTTTTCTTGACATTGAAATAATACACTTCCTTACTTTGAAGTAAAAAATATATGGAGGGTCATCACAGAGTTTTGTAACCTTTAATAAAGCAGTTGGCAGAGTTAGTAGAGTTAGTATAGAGAAATTCAGGAACCATTAAAATTCGAGCTTTATCTTTTGTTGGATTTTTACAGATGTAAGACGAAGGTCTATCCTGATGAACTCCCGAACACAAGCATAGTAATAGTATTTCATAATGAAGCCTGGAGCACACTACTACGGACAGTCCACAGCGTCATCAACCGATCTCCCCACCATCTTTTATCGGAAGTTATTTTGGTGGATGATGCAAGTGAAAGAGGTATAGTTCACATTTTCTTCTGGTTTTCTGGGTCAGCTGAGATGATGAGCAAATTACTGTATACAGCATTTTTAAACTTGACAGATTTCTCAAAACAGCAACTCCAGAATTCTGTGCTGCAAATGTTTGTTTGTACCCTTTAATTGGAATTTCCAAGAAATCTGTAAATCCCCCATTGGTGTTTTATCCTTTCAAATTAAAGAAAATCTGAACTTGAAGTTGTAATATCCTGTCATACAGCCTGCTAGTTAATTCTGATGTAATAGGGCAACCTCAGAACACTCTCAATAGGTTTCTGTTCTGATCACCAAGCATTGTTCATTTGGAAGAGGGTATGTCTGTCATTTATAAATGGATTGTGGGAGGTGAGTACCGCACCTTGTTAGTACAAGGCAAAGGTGCCAGCCACATAGGGAATTTATACCTTTCCCTAAAATCCCCTTCAAATGAAACCTCTCTGTAAGAAAATGAGGACTAGCCAAAAATAATGGAAGGATAAAGGGTACAGTTTCAAGCTTTGGCCCACTCCCTTTGCTTTTTGCAGCTCGCTTTTAGATTCCCAATATGATGGGTGGCCTCATTGAGTAATAGGAATGTGCTGTAGGTGGGCCCAGAATTGACTTCAGAGGTGAAGTGTAGAATTGCTTAACAGAGCTTCACAGGTTTCAGGGATCACTAAAAAGCTATGTATTGTTACATGAGGTCAGTTAAGGTCTCTGATCTTCACTTATGCCAACATTAAGCAACTTTACTTAAAGGACAGTTGTATATCAAATGGACAGTTTTTTTCATACTTTTTTGTGTGTTTATGTTTTTTTCCCCCCATCAGATTTCCTAAAAGCTCCACTGGAAAACTATGCCCGACATCTGGAGGTTCCAGTGAAAATTCTGAGGATGGAACAAAGGTCAGGGCTGATCCGGGCACGCCTTAGAGGTGCCAACATTGCAAGGGGTCAAGTGATAACCTTTTTGGATGCACACTGTGAATGTACAGTTGGATGGTTGGAGCCATTGCTGGCAAGAATAAGGGAAGACAGGTATGAATATTTCACATCTGTCTCCTGCTGAACGTATGTTAGCAGAACATATTAAAAATTCAAGTAAATACACAGATGTGCAGATATGTTTGTGACAGGTCCTCTTAAGAGTGGTCATGGCAGTCAGATCTTGGAGGGTCTCCCTATTATGCAGAAATCTGTTTGAATAGGAGTGTCCTACAGCTGAGCAAGCATAAGTTAAATTATGCCAATGTGTGTCTAGTTAGCTAAAATGGTGTAAGCAAAGTCATAGATGGCATGGCGACTGAGTAAAACCCATGTGGTGGCTGGCAATAATAGAACAATGTGAAGGATGAGTGTATACTGGTAATGAGTACACTTCCCTGAAGTGTGGGGATAGACTGTTGCTGGGTGTGCTCCCCAGCAGTCTCAGGGTATAATGTTGCTAAGTGCACTCTCCTGGAGTGTGAAGGTAGGTTGCTGCTGGATGTGCATCCCAGGAGTGTGAGGTAGATTGCTGCTGGATGTGCTCCCCTGGAGTGTGAGGGTAGATTGCTGCTGGATGTCCTCCCCCGGAGTGTGAGGGTAGGTTGCTGCTGGACGTGCTCCCCTGCAGTATCAAGTTAGATTTTTGCTGGGTGCAATCCCCCTGGAGAATGATGTTATGCTCTTTCTGGGTGTGCAGATAAACTGTAAGGGTAAACTGGTAATGGAGAGCCCTAAAATATGATTAATTTACTGCACTGCATTCTGGTAATCTCTGAAAAACAGATCACAAACTGCTGGAAGAAAGCAGCATCTGCATTCATTTAGCTGAGCCCTGCCCAACCCATGTGATCCCAGATGCCACTTTGTAGAAAGCAGAATGTACATCAGGATGGATCCATGCTGCCCCCCTAGTTCTCCATTTCGGCAAAATCTGCTATAAGAAAAAGGGAAAAAGCTATGCCCAAATTTCTGTGGCAAGAACTGTGGCTCTTCTTTTGTTTCAAAGTATTTTATTCATTTTCCACAATAAATATACAATTAATACGAACACTTTAGTGTCACCAAACAAACAACAATACTTCATTTTTACTTAAATATAATCTATTCCTTATTAATATAAGCAATGAAATTTGTGCAATGTGCAATATAATATTATTGAAAATTCATTAATAAGAGAGCTTTGCTCATTAATATATATCAAAAACTATTCTTGTGTACTTAAAAGTGCCTTTGTTTAGCAGATTTCCATTATACTATCAATATTCAATTGAACTAATAAAAACCGCTATATACCTTAATAAACCTTAATAAATAGTGTTTCCAAAATTAATAAATTATATTTAAAGTCAAGGTTAACCAGGTACCAGGTCAAACAGCAACCAACACTCCCATATAACGAATCCATGGTGACCAAGTTAGTTCAAATCTCTTTTCAGTATCCATAAGGATGCTCTGTATCTTCTCATGTACCATTATCCATGACAGTTTCGCTTTAACCTGTTGAAAAGGTATCGTTGGCAGCCTCCAGGATTTTGCTATAGTAGTTTTAGCTGCCAGAAAGAAAAAATATATCAATTTCTCCTGAGCTCTTAAGAGTCCTGGTATAGGGCAATTTAATGGAGCATAGTGAGCCTCCTTCGGGACATGGACTTCAACAACTCTATATATAAGAGCATAGAGTCTGTTCCAGAAAGAGCGCACTTTAGGGCATTGCCACCAGGTGTGATACATAGTATCAGGAAGTGTACATCCTCGGAAGCAATCAGGGGATATCCCCGGAAATATCCTAGCCATCCTGGAGGGGACCAAGTACCATCTAGATAATACTTTATAATTAGCTTCAACATAAAGGATAGTTTAGTCTTTGTATCTACCAAAATAGAATATATCATTGAAATGCCGCCCCTCTGTCCTCCATCCCCCAGACACCACTGTGGCTCTTCTTTAGTTAATACCATTATCAACACAGCTAACCAAATATTAGTTAGCACTTAACAAAAAACCCTTCTTCAATCGACTAAGTTAATCTGGGATTTAGAGATGTGTTGGTTATATTTTAATTGGATTTTTGATAATAGCTATTTTAGAATCAGAATATTTTTTATAGGGAAGCCTCACATACAGCTGTGTACAGGAGGGCATGAAAAGAATTGATCTGTTTTGTGTCAATTCATATTTTCCCCTCCAGGAAAACAGTGGTTTGTCCAATAATCGATGTAATAAGTGACGACACGTTTGAGTACATGGCCGGTTCAGACATGACTTACGGTGGATTTAATTGGAAATTGAATTTTCGCTGGTATCCTGTTCCCCAGAGAGAAATGGACAGAAGGAAAGGAGACAGAACATTACCAGTAAGGTAAATAAATATTATATATTTCATGTATGGATGAGTGTGCATAAATGTTTACAGCAACAGTCAATACAGATAAAATTAAGAGATGAACAATAAGTTGCACAGTGTGAGATGGAAGAGCTGTCAGGCAGGGTGGTGCAGCAATTAAACTACACAGATACATTACATGCCAATTGAATGATACTTGTCATTTTGTTTTGTGCGGATGACAGCTGGAACATCTGTGGAGTTTTGTAACCCATAAATACAGCATATATGACATGAACTATTCTCTCTGGTTTCTGCACCATGTCACACATATATGCACATGCTAAGGCCAGCTTGGTTAGCAAGTTTTGCGTTTGGTTTGCCATTAGTTTATAGGAGGATACCAGACCCATTGGAAGTAGTCCAGACAAACATGGGGGAAAACATGCAGGCTCCAGACACCTACCGGTAGCACCCTTGCTGAGGTTTCCCTTAACCTCTCTATAACCTCAATCTGTAGATTGCACAAAATGTGTACCCTGACAGAATTTAAATAGTAAATTATGTCACCATCGTCATGCCTGATGAAGGGACCCTCAGTGGCCCGGAAACGCTGCAATGTAACAAGATGTGTGCGCATCAATAAAATGTATCACTGGTTGAAGATTGAACCATGGTGTGCTGGTGACACACTTACTATTCGGATCTGAAGCGGCGCCATCAGCAGTCACTGCAGCACCCACCACAACGGACATACCAGTAAGGAGTGCGGTAGGATTATAATGCATTCTGAAAGAATTTAAGTTCATTATTGCCTGATCCAATCAATGTTGGCTTACTCTACAATGGATTTCTGAGATAGAGATCATTTCAGCCAATCTGTTTGTTTCCCACAGCATAAATGCACATGCTGGTGTGATCTGAGCATGTATAAAAGGGTTTAAATTACAGGGGTATTTTCAGTAGCTCAATTGTGCTCACTGCTGATTGCCAACCGATGGACCAATGGGCTTCCTGAAATGTATGGCAAACAGTATCACGTGCCAGCAGTGAAATGCACATATACTGTGTAATCATGAGCTAATAAATTCTGTTACATTCTGCGGTGTAGTTTGCACTATAGCGATCCTAATGTTCCATGAGTTAGTGACTGATTATCTGAAAATAACAGGTGATTTTAGTAGAGTGAATGAGTTACAACAATGTATCTTTGGTATCATACAGTTCTCTGTCTGATAAAGAAATCCCCAAGCAACTAATTAATGGATCCATCCCTAATCGCTGCCTAATATTTATGGCCAGTTTTAGTCCGCTTCTTAATTTGTTTGTACAGCAAACAAGAGTTCTGCTTTAAACACCAACCACCACAAACAGGAGACTATAAACAATCCCCATATCTATGCTATGAGGATTTTGAAACTTAGATCAAGAGGAAAGTTCACTTGGAACCAACATTTTGTTGGCACTTCGTGAGGCGAAATGACCTTCTGCCACAAAATGTGTCAAGCTGCTCAGTGGATGCCCTCTTTACTACATCGTGTCTCATACAAGGGTATACATTTCCCAAGATATATCTAGTTTATTGTATTTTGCATTCTATTGTTGCTTTGCTAGCACATTTTATTGTTGCTTGGTAAGCAATTATTATTCTTTTGTCCTCTCAGACCATTGGGTTTCACTATTGTTTATAGGTTGATCCGCGCCCCCCCCCCCCCCCCAAAAAAAAAAGACTAATATTTACTTGGGATGCCTTTAGCTTTGATTATGGCACACATTAATTTTGGCATTGTTTCTATAAACTTATGCAATGTCATAACATTAATTTACGTCCAGAGTTGCATTAATTTTTTACCAAGATCTAATGATGATTGGAGAGTCGGACCACAGTGCAGTCTTCTCCAGCACATCCCAAATATTCTTAATGGAGCTAGGGTCTGGACTCTGTTGTGGCCAATCCATGTGTGCAAATGATGTCTCATGCTCCCTGAACTACTCTTTCACAATCTGAGCCCGATGAATCCTGGCATTGTCATCTTGGAATATGCCCAATGTGCCATCAGGGAAGGAAAAATCCATTGATGGAAAAACTTGGCCATTCAGTATATTCAGGTACGTAGCTGACCTCCTTTTTTGGGGACATAACTTTGCTTAGCTTAATCCAGGTAATTACTTTTTTATTTTTTTGGATAGGCAGTGTATAAGAGTATATACAGTAGTTATGTATTTGGAATAATAATAATAATACTAATATTATTTTATTTCCACTTGTAACATCTTTAGAACCCGGGTTCTTCTCAGATAGGTGCTCTAGTAGAGCACCTTCTGGGATATATATATATATACAGTGTATCTGCAATCTCTATGGTAGTTCACTTATTTTTATCTTATCTATATGTGCATTGATATATTATTGATCTATACCTTATTTATCAGTTATATTTAGTGTTTATTATTGTAAGGGCTCTTTTATGGTCCTTGTGAGTGTTTTAAATGATTGTAGGGGTTAGGGTTGATATGTGGTTCTCATTATGTCTAATAAAATGTTATGATTCTAATCAATCGGCGTGGCTGTTTGTTTGCACAGGGATTTTGTGGTGGTATTAAATCTATACTCGGACAATTTAAAAAAAAAATAATAATCTAAAGAGAGGCAGACTTGATAGACCACTTTTTTTTTCTTTACGTTTTGTTTTGAAGAATGCAATAGAATTATATAATGTATAAATGTATTTCCCATACCCTGACCTCACAAACTTAAAATTCATAGAGGGGCCACATTGCAAAACCCTATAAATGTATCAATAAATCATTATACAATTCATTATAAAGTCACAGTGTCATTCTCCTCCAAAACCATCCGAGGTCCACCAAAGAGGTATAAACTATATAACAAAAATGAATCACGTAACATATATTAATTTTACTAACCAAGTTGGTTGTAGAAACCAACCAAGTTCATTGTAGAAACCATTTTGGTTATTTATCATGTATTATCCAATTTAATTTTTTTCAGCAATGCAAGTATCCCTTACAGGTTGTATATATTTTAAATGAGGAAAGCCTAAGGTAAAGGCAAACATGTAGAAACACAGTGGGTATCATGTGCCCAAAAAGGAACCATATTCTTGACCTTTGAACATGCATGGATTTAAATTGCCACAGCAGCCCTTTATTAACCAAACAAAAGTTAACTTACCAAACGTAATAATCAAATTAACATACAAATTAATAACCTGGATGACTGTTGGATCCGAGAAGGGGACTTTGGGTGCCCATCAGCCAAAATAAGGCCTCCACTAAAACTGCTCCCATGTCCCCAGCCGCACCCAAGCACCACGAGGACAGTTACTGCTCCCAAGTTCCAAACGGACAGGCCCCTGACAAATACCGACACCAATGGGGGGAAGCACCTGATGGCCCCCCCATTTTGTAACCGACTCACATTTTCAGACCCCCAGAGACCCGTTAACCTGCCAAGCTGCCGTGACATAAAAAGTCATTGCAACTGCAAAATTAGGGGAGGTCGGCCAGGAAAACCTGCTTCCTCTGTCGACTTTCTAGAAAGAACACTCATCAGCCCTTGCAGTCCCAACCCATGCGGCTCCTCCCCGGCACCTGACCCCCAACCTCCAATCAGGTAAGGTCAACTGATTCACACTTTATTTAACCCCTTCTCCAGGGACTATTCCTCCCCCAGTCATGCAGCCCCTCTGCTCATTATCTCCCAGCTTGTCTTTATGAAAAGTATTACATTTAATGCTGAAGTTCCTTTTCTGGGGTCTGCAGGTGCAGCAGTGCATAACTTTGAGTGGCAATGCCTCTGGGTTCCAAACTTCCAGTCATAACAGTCTTTGCTGAACCTCTCATTGCAATGGAGAGCAGAAAAGTCAGGATGATGTGTGCTCACTACAGGCATGCTATGTATCAACCCAACTGCATGTGTTCTCACAACAATAGGGTGACAATGCCACCAATGCTTTGAAAGGCAGTGGGTGAGTGTTGTCACCCTAAAAGAGGAAGTCCTATTGACACAGTACTGACTCAGGATTTCTAGAGGTAAAATAAAAAAGACTGCATTTTTAATAATCACAGTGACATTAGCACACATATTTTTTTTTATGTTTTGAGTGTACACACACTTCAACTGTCTAAAGATCTGTTTTTGATTGATGCCGCGGTGGCTTTTCCTCTCCTTATTTTTATATTACGTTTTTTGTCTGGCTGTGTTCTTTGTAGTCGATGAGTGAAAACAGACGAATAATGGATCTTTCTTCATTTCATACAAAAGATCTGTTTGGGCCTACTGCTTTCCTCTTATCATTATTTGCTATTAGGAAAAATCGATCTGTTAGCTCTTCGCAAACCTAATAATCTCTATAAATAAACGTTTTTCAAACATTTCCATTGTTTACTGCACAATGGTACAGTTTTATAATACAGCAGGGTCATTAGTCTTTCCCTTTCGGATATAAGGCACGTCTTCCCTGTTCTGAAAAAGTGAAGCTCACTTATCTTCGCCTGTCAATAGAATATATCTGAGCGTGCATCACATTCCAGCTGAAACTGTGACACTGTTTATCTATGTCATACCAATTACTGAGCTAGGATATCATACAGAGCCTGCATGGGCTTATCCTTGTGCTAATCATCAGCGCCCTCTGCTGGACAAACCTGAGAAGGCATCCTTAAAGGCTAAGTTCACCTTTTGCAAAAATTAAAGAAATGCATATTTGATAATATAAAAGAAAAATATGCTTTTCTTTAATTTTTGAATTCAAGCCTGAAAAGCATTGCTTGTGTGTGTTGTAAAGTAGCCACCACTTCAAGCTCTCCCTCTGTGATGGACTACAATCTTATGTTTATCTTACTAATTTGTATTGGGATTGTAGTCCATCATTAAAGTGAGCTTGGAGCAGTGGCTACTTTACAACACACACAGGGACCATGGCAAACAAAAGTAGCCACCCTCCAGGAAGAAGAACAGCGTCAGCACCAATTCAGAGATGATTTGATGATTTGATGATCTACAGCCGAGTGATACACAAATAAGATACATTTCTGTTCATAATTAAGGTACTTAAATGCATTTATAAGATTTACCTCCTGAGTTTAGTGTCTCCTCAGAACAATGCCATTGGGTTGCAATGAAGCAGGATCAACCATTGTCATCTTCCCAGTTTAGCCAATCAACTCCCTTCACAGATTAGAAAATTAAAGGACGTGTCTGGCTACTATGAAAACATCATCCTTTTTCTTTTGGTTGGAAAGTGTGTGAATGGAATTTGCAGTCCAGGGGGGTGATTTACTAACCTAAACACACACACACACACCTGGTGTGTGTGATTTTCACACAGCAAAACGTATTTATCAACCAAAAAGTCTCTAAAAGCATATTTCCACTAATGCCATATATGGAAAAATCATGTACATGATGCATATATAATGCTGCTTCACAGTTTGGGCAAAAATGGTTAGCTCATGCATTTACATTCCTGCATTCATCAACGCAAGCAACACAACATAGAGCTAATTTACACAACATCACCTTGCAATTCATGCTTGGCTTTGCACAACACACCTGCTGGGTGTGTACACACTACAAAGGTGTTTAGATTCCACCCATAGATCATGCTGGGAGGGAACACACTACAGAGGTGTATACATGTTTGTGGTGTGCTTATAAGGTTAGTAAATCAACCCACAGGTCTTCTTCCAGCCTGGAAGGCATCTTATCGGGATATAGTTGAGTATTCAAGGTCTCCCTTATGATCAGGAACAGAGAGATAGTTTTCATACCAAGCAGCAAAACATATTTATTCATTTATTTCACTTAACTTAGGCTTGATATTGGTTCAGGCCCCCAAACGGATGTATCTCAACAGATACGTATCTTTTTTTCAGCCTTACAATGTATTTGGGCTTTACTCTGAAAAAAGCTCAGTTTACAAGGTGCATTGCAGGTTTTCTATGTTCTAATCCGGCTCGATTTTTGTGATGATAAAAACATAACTTTCAAGGATTTTGCTTGCTGGATTTGTATAGTAGCTTCTCACCATTTAAGTAGATAAAATGTCTATTTCTATTTTATTGTACATATTCTCAGATCTATACCGCCTTCTTTTCTCCAGAACACCTACAATGGCAGGAGGCCTTTTCTCCATTGACAAGAACTATTTTGAAGAGCTTGGCACGTATGATTCAGGAATGGATATCTGGGGTGGAGAGAATTTGGAGATGTCTTTCAGAGTAAGTATAACTAAAACAAACTTTGGGAACAACTTCCACCAAACAGTGAAATGCTCAGATAAAACACATACTCACATGGCTCTACCAGAAAATCCATAGAGTGATACCCGTACTCTTGTAACCAATCACTTTCCAATACGTTGCATAGCTATGTTCCATAACATGAATGACAACACTGTATAGAATCTGTAATTCTCTGCCACTTCCTGCCTACTCTTTTATCCAAGGCTGTAGCTCAATTAAAGCAAGCAATGTTTACATTTTTCAGCATCATTTGAGGTGATTAGGTTTTTTAATTTTTTAGAAATACATTTTGACACCTTCCATTTACATCAAATCAGGAAATTTTGCAGGTACAGAGGTAAATAATCCAAAATCCCAAATTCTTACATTCATTAGCTAAACAAACATATTTTAATTTTACTTTCATTATACTTACCATTTCTTGTTTTCTACTTCCTGGTTCTCTTTGGCAAAAGTGATGTAATCGTGCCCAAGTGTTGCATCCTGGGAAGGTTACATCAGCAGTTAATTGCTGGGAAATCTCATCTGGGAAATCTCATCATGAGATCTCAGGGAAAGGCATTTTCCTCCATGAGATGATGTGCATGGTCACATGTGCCAGAGTTCCAGGAAGTAAAGGGAGATGGTTTCATTATCTCTTAGTAACAATGGCCACTGTGAGAAGAATGGGGAGGAAAAGAAACACAAGGTATGCAAATAATAAAAAGCAATTATCTACAAGTATCTGTTTGTAGATTGTCATCTTAAACAATTCTAAAGGCGACTTTGTTGTTATTTTGAAGATAAGGGTGAAATTCCTGTTTAAGATCACATGACCACTTTTATGGGATCATAGCTCCCAACTGTATCTCATTTAAAAGACTGTCCCTCTTTTCGAAACAAAACAAATATGTTGGCAGCACACCTAAGAGCTGATCTTCTGTTGATGTTGGCTGCCTCATATTCTTCTGCGCACCTGGTGCCATTTTTTTGCGGCCAGAAAGCCATACCTCTGACGTGGAAACAAGATTACGCGAGGCAGTTTGTTTGTGAAGTGCTGGAGAGCGGTATGATAATGAGTGTCTGCAAGCAATAGTGAAGCATGGTGGAGGTTCCTTGCAAGACTGGGGGTTGCATGTCTGCCAATGGAGTTGGAGATTTGGTCAGGATCGGTGGTGTCCTCAATGCTGAAAAATACAAGCAGATATGTATCCATCATGCCATACCATCAGGGTTGGCCCCACGTTTATTTTGCAGTCTGATAACGACCCCAAACATACAGCCAATGTCATTAAGAACTATCTTCAGCTTAAAGAGGAACAAGGAGTCCTGGAAGTGATGGTTTGGCCCCCACAGAGCCCTATACTCAACATCATCGACTCTGTCTGGGATTATATGAAGTGACAGAAGAATATGAGGCAGCCGACATCCACAAAAGATCTGTGCTTAGTTCTCCCAGATGTACCTAGAACAACCTAACTGCCCTGTACCTTCAAAAACTGTGTGCAAGTCTACCTAGAAGAATTTATGCTGTTTTTGAAGGCACAGAGTGGTGACACCAAGTATTGATTTGATTTGGATTTCTCTTCTGTTCATTTACTTTCCATTTTGTAGATCATTGATAACAATAAACTATGAACACTTATATTTCTGAACACATTCTTACTTTACAGCATGTTTTCACACCTGCCTAAAACTTTGCACAGTTCTATATAAAATATAACATGTAACTACCCTAATTTCTGAAATGTACCCATGAAAGCAAGAAGATATTTATATTGTTTTGCAAGATATATTTAAAAAAAAAAAAAATTCTGATGAATATCTTGCACAATATAGAGTTCCAATGATGAACTGCTGCATTCAAAAATTGCTCTGCTCCTGAATTGTTTGAAGAAATACAAGTGGTTAATGGAAAGTGAAGTGCTCCTTTAAAAACCTTTCTGCAATTATTTAAATGTATATGGTTTTTTTTTGTGTACATTTCATGAAACCTTTGTATGCACAGACTAGTGTGCCTATGAAAATGACCATTTACCTTTATCAAGATATGTTTTATAAGAGGATAAGAGCAATTTTGGGATAATTGGATATTTCACAGCAGAATTTAAAGAACATTTTTCAGTGTATTCACAGTATTGCTAATTTACTGTTGTATAGAGCATGGAGGTAGGCTGCCTGTGCAGTCCAATTATTATTATAACCATTATCATCAAAGGCGGATGGAGAAAAGATACAATTTAACACTGACTTCCAGACACAAATAAAAGACACAGATCAATACTGCTTTGTATTCATTAATAGATCATTACATGTATTTACTTTAATGCAACCAGTATAAGTATTTAAATTATACTTGGCATTAGCCTGTTGCAATCCCCTGTACAGCAGGGTTCAGACTTGGTGAGGAAAATGCAGTGTAAGGAGTTAGTCAACTGTGCTACAATGCTTATATGCTAAAAGAAATATGCTGGTAGAAGAAGAGAGCAGAGTAATAGAGGGATGAGTTCATCATTCTGTGGCTTTTCCTTTCACTGTTTGTTCAGTTTAGGAGAGGGACAAGACCTGCAAGTGTTACATATCTGTAGCAGAGAAAGATCCAGGCTCCTTCCCTGCTAGGCAGGGCTCTGCTGTGTGATAGAGCCATGTAAATTGCTAAACTGGATGGACAGAAGTACTAATCCTTTGGTAGGTAAACCAGCTCCATGACATGTATTACATCTGCTTATTTAGATACTGGGCTGAGGTTTAGCTGTAAATCTTTATGTTGTTTTGAAAAAATTACAAATCAATTATAGAAAATCATACCTTCCATTCTGCTTAGTGAAAATGTGAGTGGACAGCTGTTGCCCTTGCCAGTCTGTGATGATATATGGTCACTTATATTAAACCCTTGGGTACCAATGCAAAATGCACTTACCTTTCAGCCCCTGACCCTCTCAATTACAGAAAAAAAAGCTCATTTGTAACAGTGAGCAGATGTCGCAAACTGGGATCTGCAAACTGTTCCCCCCCCCCCCATTTGATGGCCCATTCATAAAATGCTGGTTGCTGTGTGTAGCCTGCATTACCCCATGGAGTTCTCTCTGCTTAATGCAGCAAAGAGAGCTCCATGATTGGAGGAAAGCCAGTCACATGGCTTTGAGAGATCACATACATGGGCTTTCCTTCCGGCTTTTTTTGCCATGTAGTTTTATTGGACTCTGCTGGCTTGAGACTCCCAAAGGCAACAGAGCACAATGCACAGTTGTAAAGCATATTGCTGTGCTTTATAAAAGTGTACAAAGCTTTTAAAAAAACAAACAAAAAAAAACAATGGCAGGGCTGCGGCATACCTACCAACATTGTGAGATGAGATACATCACAGCATGAAGTATGTAGGCAAAGGACATGCTCCTGTCACGCCTGCAGAAACATGAACCATGAGGATTATTGCACAAAAACTATTATTGTAACCTACAATTACTTTTGTTCATCCTTCGCCTTTATTTTGGCTTTTAACAATACCAAATTAAATACTTTACAGGTTAGATAAAAGGTTTAGTATAGTAAAATACTTTTGATAGTTAAAGGAGAACTATGGGGTTAAGGCTTTTCCCCATAGTTCTCCTTAGGGTAACGGGAGGACACAAACTAGCGTCCTCCCGTCACCCTAGGTTCAGTATACCGCGAGCTTTAGCTCCCGGTATACTGAGACACCGCAGCTGAAGCGGATCCCGACAATTGTGCTGGGATCCGCCCAGCTGCGTGACTGACAGCTGGCTCTGCCTATCTAGAGGCAGAGCCAGCTGTACCCGCCCCCTCCCCCGTCCATTCCGCCAGTCAGCGCTAGCGGAGCGGAGGCGGGAGGGGGGAATCCAGCCCCTCCCCAGTCACGGCAGAGAGCCATGACAGGATCGAGAGGTGAGCGAACGCCGGTATGTTTTCGCTCACCTCCCAATCTACTGAGCCGACCTGTGACAGTCTCATTGTCACAGGTCGGCTAGAACTATGAGGTGATATTAAAAAATACATTTTTATAGAGATCTATACATCAGTCCAAAATGAGGGACAATTAAGGAAGAAAGTGAGACAGAGGAATTTTTGCCTGAAGAAGGAACAGTTGAGCGTTCTGAAACCTTGCTATGCATTGTGAGACCTGATTGGATGTCAATAAACAAGGGCTGACACTCTGAACTCAGGAGTGCTGGTGATTTCTTCACTTATTATTGGTTCCAAAAGAGGGACAACCCCTCCAAAATATGGATAGCTGGCAGGCTTTGCTGTAGTATAGCCATATCGCTGCTTTTAAACCAGACCCTAGTCGAGGGATGAGCTCAGGTTCCTCCTGAACACGGAATGAAGCTCCTCCCATGGTGTCCAATCAGCTGCTGGTGGGAAAATCCCCACCAGCATCGTGACATAAGGAAAGGGGTGGGGTGCGATTATGTTATTGACCTTATATGGCTACACAGCCCATTAGTAGTTAAATGACCTAATATGGCGATGTGGCCATATATGGTAAATGAAGTCCGCACAAGCATCCCACCTCTTTGTTTATGGCCAGCTGCTTGGCGGGGAATGCTCACAGCTGATTGGGCGGGAGGCCTATGTCACTTCCATGTTCCGATGAGCTCAGATCGCGTTTGGTGCAAACCTGAGCTCATCCCTACTTGAAAGCAATGAAAACTAACAGGGTTATTCACAAAAGGGGGAAGAGTTTGGAGAAGGCAGGAGAAGTGAACAATCTAGGACAGCATAGCTGATTTGGAACAATTCTCCAATTCAGCTCACTTTCCAGTTCAGCTATTTTGTCTTCATCATTTTGTGAATAATCCTGTAAAACTCTGGAGAAAAATATTGCAGATGCTTTCCCCACCCTATCCTGGCTGCCCTGGTGATGTAACTGGGCCTCACCCTGGAATAATAAGAAAGGTCAGGACTCAGGATCCCACATTTTGCGAGAAGATGCTCCAGGGCTGTGCAGGAGAACATTGTCAAGAGGTTTGTGATCCTCAGATTTCCCAGGAGAAGGCCCAGTGACATCACCCACAATGGCAGATTGAGTGTAAGGTTGATTTTTGGTTGATTTTCGGTTGATTTTTCAGGAAGTAGAGGCAGCAGAGTAAGAGGACTTTGCATTTTCTTGCAAGGTCCGCTTTAAGTTGAATAGTCGTTTTTTAGCTTGTCCCTTCCCTTTTATATCTCTGTGAATAACATCCTGATAGAATCAAGATTTTGAGCCAAATCTAGGTCAGACGGTAAGCTGCAACTTTCTGCCTGTTTAAACTTAAGTAATGTTCAATTTTTCTGTAATACATTTCTACAGTACACATTTTCTCTGGCCAAAAAGACACTCAGTAAAATAAAATAGGAATATTGCTTCTAAAATTGCTGAAGCTTTATACAATTAATCTATAATTTGATATTTCCAGGAGTTATAAATGACTGCAGATTTCACCTTTTCCACTCAAATGTGCATTTGTGTTAAATTGGTTTTGCTACGCCGTATTAGATAAGGTTATTTAAAATAAAGCAGATCAGACAGCCTGAAAAGGAGGAAACCAAGAGCTCGCTTATTAGATCTTCTGTAAGGAACCCGAAAAGAGGTCACCTATTTTAAAGATCACCTGTCATGCATACTAGTGGAGTCAGCCATTTTGGAGCTCATGCATTATTCAGTTATTGGATTCATTAGGAACCAATTACATCACTGAAGCACAAAATGGCTTTTTATTCTACAAAACAGCCTCCACGTCTTCTCCACAGTCTGGTTTCTGTGCCCTCTGGTTGGCTTAGAGTCCCAAAGCCCACATCGGGTGTTGTGGTGTGTGCGGCATAGATATACTGTAAATATGTACTAGCATATTATTTAGTAGCGGTGGCCACCAGTCTGAACTCTCCCCAGTCTCAGCCTATAGTCAATGGAAATTTCTGTGTAAAATCACAGTATGTCTGATAACATAACAGCATTTTATGTGTAGTAGTTAAATATTAAATTTGCAGTGACAAACCACATCCCTCAATAAAATGACAACCATTAGGAAGGAAGCCATCCCTTTGGTTGGGTTTGTCCACTTATAACCTTAAGGAGGAACCTTAGAATCTGTGCCCCAAAAAAGACAGGCAGAAGGCAGACTTGTCACCAGTATTGCCTGTGGTCTCCCAGCAGCTTATCTTTTTTCCCCATTACTGATTTACAATGCCTTGTTCTGTCCCATGTCTCTGTATGGAGGTGGCCATCTTGGTAGCGGCAGGGCTTTGCTTCCTCATGCCAAAGCCTCCAGCAAGGAGAACAATGAGCAGCACAGTGATTACGTCACCAAATTTCACTACACCTTATTTCTGAGATCATCCTCATATTTCTGTCCTGCCAGATTAAGTGCAGTACCCATCAACCAATCAACATCAACATCCATACTAGTCTGATGTCAGTAAAATGAATTCAGATTGGTTGCAATGGTTTACTGCACTTTCCACCTTGCCATATTGGAGCAAGCTCACCTAAGTGCCAACTGTTTTTTTCATTCCGGGAACAGTTCTTGGTTTGAAATATTTGTTTTTGGAAATGTCCCAGGTATGAAAAACTGACCATCTGTAAAATCCATATTTCTGTTGCTGTGAAATAAATGCATATGGACAAGCTGAATTTAAATGTATATGACAAGCTTGATGTGTATGATAAGATCCGACTTTCAAACTCAGCAGAAAAATGTTCTGGAAATAAATCTACAAAGCAATGATTTCTTTTTCTAGGATCTAAACCCTTCCCTCCTTATCAGTGCAGAATGCGGTCTTATCAAAATGCAGAACTTTTCTACATATTCACATCATATATCATGTCATATTTGTGTGCATAACTGAATAGTTACCATTTTTGAATATTAAAAGTCTCAAGTGGTATAAACTTTTATTTGACTTTCAGATCTGGCAGTGTGGCGGTTCGCTTGAAATTGTGACATGTTCGCACGTGGGACACGTATTCCGAAAAGCCACTCCCTACACCTTCCCTGGCGGTACAGGTCACGTGATCAATAAAAACAACAGAAGATTAGCGGAAGTCTGGATGGATGAATTCAAAGATTTCTTCTATATTATATCACCAGGTAAGTGTCCTGCATTTAAAAAAGAAGCAACAGTCTCATAAAAACTTTGGATATTGTTTTAAAATAAGAAGCTACAGGTTAGATTGTGTTCTTGGGTTGAAATACGCTTTAGCACTTTAACAATACTTAACTCCTAACAGTTATTATAACCATGACACTTAACCCTACTCCACTTTCATCCTATGTCACCCCCAGTCCTAAGCCACGCACTAAATAAACTCTACCACAACTCTTGCTACCTTAACCAAAATAGCCCCAAAAACTAAATTAATATTTAAAGTATAACTGAAGCCCCAACTAGCTTTGGATAGAGTAAGGGAGGGGTATAACCCCTGTGAGCTTTTTTGCCATCTGTGTCCGTTGGGGAGACTTACCCTAGGAAGTGAGAGGAAATTCCTTTAAAGTAAGGGAAATCTCTAGTAGTCAGCAGGGTTAACTCACTTGGATCTCAACTGCGGATAACTGCTTGTGGTTCACTCAGGGTATTCACAGATACGATTCTGGTATACAACTGAAGGTTTCACTATAAGTGTGAAGTTTCCACCAAATTTATTAACTCAATTAAATACACAGTTCATAAGATGCACAGGGTTAGAATGTCTATCACGTACCTAAAGGGGAGCCTGAGATGACGATCGCTTGCTGCTCCAGTCCAAACACCCCTGGATAGTGGGAACAGGTGCCTGAGGGGCACAAGTGCTGGTAGGTGTAGATTCCTGTCAGAGCTGCATGCAGGTTGCAAGGGTTTTCTAGCAGGATGCAGTTATAACGCAAGAACCTGGAAGCAGAGTAGAGACAAGCTGGGTCAGCAACAATCTGGCAGCGAGGTATACAATCAGGAGACAGGATGTAATCAGAGGCAGGCCTGGTCAGTAACTTGCAGGCAGAGAAGTACCAGGAAGCAGGCAGGAGAGAGGTCAAAAACCAGCCGAGGTCAAGGAGTATGGAGCGGGAGCAGAGGTCAAACAAGCCTGTTCGGTAACGGATGATTGGATCAAGAGTACAGGTTTCAGGAACAAGGGACAGGGTACAGCTGAAGAGCAGTCAGCAGGTAGGTCAAAGTGTCTCAGCCTTAAATAGCCCCATTGGCGCCATCATTAGGAACGATCATGTGCGCACGTCCATGCGCACGCCGTGGAACGCGCACATGAGTGTGCGCACACCCAGGCAGAGGCATGCGGCCGGGCACAATCCCCTGTGCAGGACGATGCATACGAGCATGTGTAAGTGCCCCTCCAGAACTCTGGCCACACAGGCTGGCTCTGGCGTCATGACAATGTCTGAGTTTATACTGCTGGTATATAGTAGTCCAAATCAGAATTGCATTCAACTAAAGATTCAAGTCACTTAAAGACACAGTTCATGATTAAGTACCGGTATGCATGATCAGTGTGGAATATCTACTTGTGGATAGGGAGTACACAACTGAGTACACAAAGTCACTTGGCTTGAAATAAGTGTAACTGAGAGAAGTTCTTATAGACACAGTTCATGAATATGTACACAGAATTAGTAAGGAGGTATACCTGCGATTGAGATTGAAGCAGGTCCGACAGACAGCATCAGGCATTCCGTAGTCGAAGTACACAGAATGGGAACTGGAATTCCTGAGTAGTGAAATATATCCTCAAGGCTGAGTGAGAGCGGTTGCTATTGGAAACAACACACAGGAAACTCACTGGCCACGCTCCTGGATGAACTGCAGGATTCCAGGGTAAGGCAGGATTCAGCTTTGGTGAAGTCTGACTCCAAAGGAAGTTGCACAAGATTAAGGACGCAGAGCATTTACAGCTCAGGGGAGTTCAGGGTGGAGAGCAAGTAGGAGCTGCAGGGAAGCCCAAGGTATACAAATTCCTGTGAATTTGCAAAGTAAGTGGAAGTGGTGAGAGAGCGCTCACATTGCTTGCACGCCTGGGAATTGAATTCCTCGGCTTAAGCCAGCTAGGACGGCGGAGCTGCATGACCCTGGTTGTGAGTCAGAGAGGGAGGCAGCCCCACCTGCTGGTGCCGGAATGAAGAGAAGGTAAGTATGTTACAGGGGTCACTAGAACTAGTGTCCACATTGGAAGATTTCCCATCTATTCCTGTTTTGATGACAACCCAACATTTTCTGTCAGTTATCAGAGTCACCAGGACAATTAGAGAGGGTGAATCTCCTTAATGGGGACACAGACAACAATAAAAACCTGGCAGGTGTTCTAATCCCTTTTCTACTCTATCCAAAACAAAATAAAATAGTTCAGTTGCTTTGTAACATTTCTTCCTACATTATTGGCTGATACTACCATGTCCATTCTTAACAGTCTTGCACCAATTCGTACTGAAGCTAAAATCGCGGACCCTAAAAGTGATGATTCACCAGTAATGAAGTAGGACTTATAGATAAGGAGGGCAGATGGGGAAAACACCCATATTTCTATACTGAGCGATTTCCTTGAATTGGGTTAGATGAGCTCTGTTGCCCAGGCACACTAGGAGACATGTGAAGCAATGATAATATGAACAATGTAAGAGAGTGTGCCCCCCTGCAGAGCTCCTGTCTACTGAAAATTTATTACAGCGTCTTTTATATCTCTAAATTAGATGGATATAACTATTCCCACAAATGTAAAAATTTAAAGGTGAGCATTTTGTAAGCAGTAAAGATTCTCTTGTTGGAAGTATTACATATTAAGGGCACCTGTTCAGAGATCAAAATCTTAAAATTGAAAGCAGTGTTAAAAGTGCCCGCTTGTACCTTCATTTATATTCATGAACTCTCCAGGAGGTTCAAAATGCAAATTTTACCTCTTCTCATAGCAGTAGTCTGCTGCCCCACACTGTGTGGTGTGAGCCCCTCTATCGGTTAGAGTGATTTATGGCATTGAGGGATGTAGAGGGCTGGAGGAGCGTAGTATGACCGCTGACTTTGAATTTGCATATTAAGCACACAGCATTCTCAGAATCCTGGGGTGCTCATATGGCTGCTTTTACATTTTGCCTTTAGTTTTCAGTCTTTCATTAGCGTAGGTTCACTGCAACAAGTTATAAACGTTAAAGAAAAAAGTCTTAGCTGCATTGCTCGTAATTACCTATACGTGATGAAGAACATTGAAACTGAAATTGTTAATGTTGCAAGTTTGAGCCCAGCTTAGGGAAAGTGTGATGTAATGTTCTACAGCAACATATACCTCAAATAGGAAAAGAGATCCAGTATAATTTTAGAAAACAGCCCTTTTTTGGGGACAAACATTCAACTAGTTGTAGCCTCCTGAAATGTAATTTTTTATTCCCATGTATGCCCATCTCTCCTCATCAATATGTAATAGGCATGAAAGTTCACACAGAAAACAACAGACTCGGCACTTTATGTAGGAAGCCTCCTTGTTAACGTGGACCGAAAGTCTAAAAAAAAAACGTGTATAGTACCACAGGTGACCCCACAACATAGCTAAATGTGGAATACAACATTGCATTGCTAAGATATATACAAAATTGGGTACTTGCCACTTCCTGGTCACATGAAGCCTAGTTCACTGCCTTCCAGATGCATCTTCGGAGATTGATGTCATTAGGCTTCCTCTCTCTTATCTGTCTAGCCTCCTATGTTATTTACCAGAGGAAACCATCTTTAATAAATCTCTGTTTTGCCTGATCCCTCATAAATCACTGCATCTCCAGATCCCTTATAAATCTCTGCATCCCCTGATGTCTCATAAAGCTCTGCACCCCCTCATTTCTTATAAATCTCTGCATATCCTGATCACTGATTAATCCCCCCATCCTCTGATCACTGATAAGTCTCTGCATCCCCTGATTCCTTATAAATCTCTGCATCCCCTGATGAATCAAAAGATGTCTGCATTCCCTGATCCTTTATAAATCTCTGCATCCCATGATCCTTTATAAATTTGTGCATCCCCTGATCCTTCATACATTTGTGCATCCCCTGATCCTTCATAAATCTGCATCCCCTGATAAAATCTCCGTATCCCCTGATCTCTTAGAAATCTCGCCATCCCCTGATCATTGATAAATCTCTGCATCTTCTGATCACTGAGAAATCCCCTGATCCCTCATTAACCTCTGCATCCCCTGATGCCTCATAAGATATCTGCATTTCCTTGTGCTTTATAAATCTCTGCATTGTCTGATCCCTTATCAATCTCTGCATCCTCTCTGCATCCCCTGATAGCTCAATGTTTTCTCCTTATTTGCATTATTGATATATATATTTTATGTATGTATATATATATATATATATATACAGTATATATATAGATAGATTTTTTTTAACAATGGCAAAATGGTTTTAGGATGTTGTCAGTTACTGTAAACGGAGCAATAGAAAGATATAGTCAGAGAACCATGACTGTATAATAAAGGTGAATCTCCTCACTAAAAAACTTTGGTTGTTGTTCCACTTTTATGCTCTTGATATAAGAAAATATATTTTTCTTATGCATAAATGAAAGTTAGCTCTATATTTTTAGATAAAAAAAAAAAATCATTGTTGGTTTAAAATAATTGCTCCCAGCAGTGGAATAATATATTGCAAAGCGGGAGTTTCACAATTCTCGGTTAACTTGTGACAGTTTTTTGCATAATTTTCTGTTTTAATTACTGCAGGTTAAATAGAGTTTACACTCTCTCAAGTAGGTTACACAGATCTGCTTTATTAATTAGCAGTAAGCCAGAGGAAAATATTTAAATACAATTAAATGCACCATTCAGTGCTCACTCGAGCAGAACTTCTTTAATGTAAACAGTCGTCTCATCCTATATGCAGAAGTGCAGTGTGCAATCCAGCTATTTTCAATGCACAGAAGTGTAAAGTGTATGGCGTCTGCTCAGAGCAGTTTAGTGGACATAATTCTGAAATTGTAATTATCATTAATTGATTATATTTGTATGGGCTGCACTTGTAAAATACAATGTAATGTCAAAGTTAAAGTAGTCAAAATAAAAATCCATCAGTAAACTTCAAGTCAATAAAACAAAAAAATCGCTGGGCGGTAGGG